GGGCGCGCGGGGAGGGAGGGCGGTTAAGACCACCAGCGACGCGGAATTACTTTCACGGCGGCGTGGAATGAATTCGCACGGCCAAGCGCTCGGGGGGGCGGCTTTATTGCGGCTGCTGCATGAAAAAAGGTGTTGGACGACTTGGCGGCGCCCGAGGGGAGGAAAAGCTGTGAGAGAATGAAGACGATGAATGACACCTCAGTTTGCAAAAACACCTCAGAGCCTGACAAATTCCGTTTTTTTTTAATTTTTTTATTTTTATGTAGCTTTGGCATCTACGCAGGTTTACTGAAGGGATAAAAATATCATAAGCATCGAAGGGCAGTCCAACCAAAATGACCGCAACACTTTTGGGAAGACACTAACAATGTCATCTCTATGTTCCCTCAAGACTTTTATTGACTTTTTTTTTTATGTTGCTTAAGAAAGCAAAGCATTTTAAAATCCCCCAAATGCGGCTGTGACTGCGATGAGGGAGACAAAGTGCCGCTGAAAACGAGAAAAGGAAGCGATGGGAGTACGGTATCAAGGACGTGTGATGTCGAAGTAGGGATTAGTTCATAAGACCGCTGGCTGGACTGACCGTTGACCTGCAGCACGTGCGTCTGGGAGATGTCCTCGTACCCGTAGGCATGGCAACTGTAGTTCCCCATATGAATGGTCGTCACCTTGGTGATGTAGAGCGAGCCGTCGTCCCCAAAGTCCTTCAACACACACACACACACACACACACACACACAGAGCAGGCGGCAAATGTAGGGAGACTGAAACGAAAAGAAGGTGGGGCGGGGGGGAAGTGAAATGCCGACACAAAGGGGGCCGAGGGACGGGACGCGGGACAATTCCGGGCAGGCTTGATGGAACGCGGCGGGGTGGCGGCGGGATCGCGGGGACCATGAATCAACTCCCGGGCTGGCGTTTGGGAATTTGATCCTTGGTGCTGACAAATTGCAAGGGTTAAAAATATAACAGCCATTAGCTTGACGAATGGGAGCGCTTGTTTGTCGCGGCGGCGCGCGCCCCAGGGGTGGGGTAGCGGCACACATTTTAAGGGCGGATTAAAGCATTATGTTTTGTCTTCCCGCCAAGTGGCGTTTCCCCAAATGTATTCGCTTTAGGGCGGTCGACAATTCTTTTAGTATGACATCAGCGGGGGGGTGGGGGGGAAACAGGCACCGATGGGCCGAGCGATCCGTGGTAGGCATGATTGACGTCGCGTCTTGCGTCCAGTGGCGGCCGAAAAGCAGGAAGTCGGGACCTGTACCGCATTCAACGCAACTCGATCTCATTTCGAAATGCGACTGCATCAGCGCGTAAGTGGGCAGGAATTGATAAAAATGTCTTCTTTCTTGCAAAGTCACACTCTTGCGAGCGTGAAAAGACCTCGAATAGCAAGCGAGTCGATATGCGGGAACTTGACTGAACCGATACGGTGGATCCGTACATTGAAAACAGAAAGTTACGACATTTTGTGTCGCGCTCCCCTTCAAGTGACTTTTCCGTCAACTTTGAATGTCACGGAATCACATTTATTTTCACGTTGGAGTACATTGCGTTCGCTTGGCTGAGCTGTTGCGCACGTTGGACCGAGACGCTAACATTTCTTATCGCCTTAATTTTTTTTGTCCCTGTCCTCTGATTGGAAAGATGAGCGTCGAAAGGCGAAGAAAAGGAAAACGAGGACAGCCGGAATGGGACAAATGCTTTGCGAGCTATTCAGCGAGACTGCGCTGTGACTCGCTGGCATTGTGCGGCAAATGTAAATGGCGGATTCCAAATGGCAGCCAGCATAATGGGATGTTAACCTTTTATTTCATCAAAATGTACAACGCGGCAAATTACACCGGGCCCCGTTATTTCTATCAAGGCTTTTGTGCAGCTAAGGACCTCGGAGGTGGCCGGCGGCTGTGTTGCAAATCATGAAATTCCAATTTGTGATCCGAGATTTGTTCTTTTTTTTTTTTTTTTTTTTTTTGGCCGCTCTGAAGCCTTGAAAGTGTCACCGGCGCGTTTTGCCCCGCCATCTCGAGGCACAGTAAAGACCCTTCATTTCACGTGCCTTTTGTGCGGTTAATCACGTTGCTGCCACTTACATGCAAATACAAAGTGTTGCGCGCTCACGAAATCAAAATGGATTATTCATTGCTTTTATGATGAGTGGCAATTTGCCACATCGTACGTCCAATTTGGCTTCCCGAGACGGTCTTTTGGCGTTAATACGCACAGCGACTCGGATTTAATATTTTCGAAAATGTAAACGCACAAATAGATCATCAAACGTCGACACGCGTCGCAAAGTTCAAGGAACGCCTTTAAATCACGGTTAAAGGAAAATTATACAAACATTTTTCCTTCAAATTAAAAATACTTTTTGTTATGATACCGTACATACGTACAGTACAAATTGTTGATGCGCATCCATACACAAAGCCCAAACACGCTACCATCGTTTCAGCCCCGGCAAAATTGCAAAAGAACGAAAGGAAAGGCAACTTACATTGATATCCTCCAGGTCGAGGAAGTTGAGAACCACGCCGTTCCTCTTCCAGATGATGGGCGGCCGCAGGGTCCCCTGAATGGCGCAGGTGAGCACGGCGCTCAGGCCCACCGTCACCGCCGAGACGCTGACCCGTTGGTCCTCCGCCAGGCTCAGCTGGACCACCTCTGCCGGGGTGGGGGGGCAATGTGTGAATCGGTTCCGCAATCAGGGAGGGAATAATCGTACGATGAGAGGGTAGGCATCACGGAAATGTGCCGATGCGGCAGAACAGCAACCGAGGCTTATTACGTCTCCGGGGGTCCGTCTCATTACTAGCGGAGCGAGGAGGATAAACAGCTGTCCTGAAGTGACTCGGCGCGGGAATAAAAAGAGCATGTGGCCGAGGACTAAATATCATTCTTCTCATTAAGGCAAATTTATGTTCATTTGAATGGTCGCGCATGATTCCGTTCACATTTTTGTGAGGAGACCGGGAGTTATTTTCCACTTTGGCCGCCGTTCATTGACCAGCTGCGGGTACGGTGAATGTTTCCGTGAAGGGTGGAGTTCTCTGCGTGGTGATTTCGAGTAGGCCTTGAAACGACGTGAGGCTACCAGCTTAGGCTTGACAGTTTTGATCGCCTTCTCTTCCCGATCGACACTGCATCAGTGTTGCAAAATTGTTGGCGGGAAATTTTTCTACAGTTCAGTTTGAGAAGCTTTACAGCCGTCACCGCACTCCAACATGTTGTACGATTCATGGCAAGATTCCAGAAACAGGATCTGTTCTTGACAAAAAAAAAACGCAGTGGAAGGCCTGCTACTCTCCCGCCACTCATGGAACCCCAAAAAAATAAAATAAAATAAACCCAGAGAGCAGACTTTCACACAAAGGAAGGAAAAGTCTATCCGGAGGGCCGCGCTGAAACTCAGCATCAAAAGCTCAATTTCAGCTTCGGAGAATGAGAAAGCTTTACTCGTAGCGACTTGAGGTTGCCGAGCGTCGTGCTCGTCTGCTTTGCGCAAACACCTGCTCGATTCAATCTGTCATGCCTGTCTTCATACGTGCCGGGTAAAGGTTCTGAGGTTTGGAAACAGGAGGCAGCGCGCAAGCTCGCCGCATGCAGTTCGCCGAGCCTCCTTTTGCCATCTCTATCTGGTCGTCAGTTCCCGTTCGAGTCGCATTCGGGTTGCGCCGGGAAAGCATCGGCCCTGTGTTGCGTTCTGTGAGAAGTCAAGTCCGGCTTCCCGGTTTGAAGCAATTACGTTGAAGAGACAAATTAGCAAGGCGCGCCACTCAGGCTGCCCGCGCAGGAAGTTATTGGCCTCGGCAGCATCGTCCGTTCCTCTGCTTTCCCTCGTAAACGCGGCAGAGAGGGGACAACAGAGTCGTCAGCTCTCCGCATCAGTAATTCCTCCAGAGATCTCGTACGTGCTCCGCCTGCCATCGCTCTCACTTCCCGTCAGGCACGCTCGCGCGTTCCCGCCTCGCTCGATCGTCGGGCATGCGAGTGTCCCTCTCGTTCTGACTCACGCTACCGTTTTTCACCTCCTCGACCTGTTTTGGGACATTCTAGTCCGTCCACATTTCTCGACCCATTTCAAAAAGATTCCTAGAATCCAGGTCATCCATTTTTCCGCTTTCCCCAAATTCTCACTTTCCCTAGAATTCCACCGCACATAAAAAAAAAAAAAAAAAAAGATTGACGTGAATAACACATTCAGAAATGCTCCTTATCTTTCCCAATTCAAACTGTTCATGGGAACTATTTTCCGCATGACTTGTGTTTCAGAACCACTGCTACAATGACCCCCCCCATCCTCACCGTTAACACTGCTGATTGATTAGCGGAGCTCCCGGAGTCCCTGAATAGTCAATTACTGGCTTCTGTGCAAGGAGGCTATTCCGGGAGAGAAACGGGTGGAGGGAAACTACCGGTGGGGGCATCATTTTAAAGATAATGTCATGACATCCTTGCCCGGCCATGCGGAGCGACACAGAGCGTCCGCCTGTGGATGCGCAATTTGTCCCCTCGCTGTGTCAGAATGGGTTCAAGTCACGGGAGGAAGCCTCGAATAGCTTTACAAGAGACTCTCCCGTTTATTTATCCGCCCGCATGTACGGCGAGCGCCGGACAGCCGAGTGGATGCTCGTTGGCGAACCCGAACCGCCGAGCCTTCGACCGACCCTCCACCTCAACACCATTCGCTGAAGGGAAAATCTCGAATCCCCTCGGGGACCTGTTGAAAGGTGTTTTTGCGGGTCATCTCTCATTTGGCAGCAAGGGAATCAATTTATTAAAGTGATGCTCCCGTCGCGAGCGCGACACAAGAGCTCAGACGCTCCTGATAATCCTTCATCTTGACAGTGAGGAGCACCAAAGCTCCACTGCAGCCGGCCTCTTTCCGACAGCCACGGCTAAGTGGTCTTTCGTGTTCCGGCGAGGGGAGGGGCCGGGGGGGAGAGATATAAAAGCCGACAGTGGGTGTCAGAGGATAGGGGGGGAGGGGGCGGTTTCATCTGACCCAAGGGTCGCAATCCGGAGAGAGAGTGGGAAACGTACAGTATACCGCCGGCATTTTTTATGAGTTGCGGGCCTTTTCTTTTGATGTCGCCCCCTAGCAGAGTGATCGCCCCGGGCTACGTTCGCCGAGTGGGCCGGGATAAAATCTCTGTCCGGCCGATAACGCCTTCGTGAGCTGTCGAGAGCACGCCGAAGCAACAGGCGGTGCTACGACTGCTTATCTCAAGGCCGCTGTAGCCGAGGGTGAGGTGCCGAAAGGAGACTCTGAGACAAAAATAAACAAAACAAAAAGCCCAGGTGCTGAGACTGTATGGTTGGCGAAAATAACCTCAATCCGACCCAACACGAACCGAAACGTCATGTCATCATCTTTATCTCAGAGCTCGTCAGAGGGGCCACAAAAAAATCCCCGCAACATAAATGCCAATCGAGGTGGTCGTCGGCTGACAGCTTTTGTCAGGACGTCCGCCTGACAACCTCCGGTCTCGTCTCAACCACGACACCTTTGCCCTACACGTAAACCTCGCTCACTCTCTCATAGTTTCCTTTAAGCCCCCCGCCCCCCATCTTGTAATCCTCAACCTGATCAAAACGTGCCCTCATCCTACTGAATATGGAGGAGCCGAAACCAAAAGATCTACGAGGTGTCTGCTCGGAGAGCTACAAGCTGTAAAATACTGTCGACTCACTTGTCTTCCCCGTTCAACTCTTTGTAGTGGTGTTCTATAAGAGCCCCCCCCCCCCCTCCGACCGCAGCCCTCCATCCACCCCACCCTTCGTCCGTTTCGACGACCATACTTTAGTCAAGACATAACCGCACGACTATAACTGAGCCATCTGGCCAACTCGCTGACAATCCACAGCGAGCAGATGTTTTCCTTGAAGGGAACAAAAGTTCCCCTGAGAGTATTGGAAGGAAATACGACTTTCTCGGCTGCCATGGCAAAAAAAAAAAAAATAGCTGACAATAGCGAACCAGGGTGAAATTTACAACTCTTTGTTCAAATATACATTGACTAACATTGTCAAGGATATCAAGCAGAGTTGCGAGACCCGGAGTGAAAGAAAAAAATAGTCAATTTCAGGACTTGGAGGATTTGCTTGTTTCAAACGCGACTCGACAGGTTGGTACATCGCATTCATCTCAGAGTTTATCTTCCTGGCAGCTGGTCAAGCTTCATGTCAGCGATCAGGCGAGAGCGCGATCAAGTTAGAAAATACGGAGATTGCTTTGGGAGCATTCGGGGGAAAACTGTGGGGTCGGGAATGTGTCTTTACAGCGAGCGAGTGCAAAGCAGATCCTGACTGCACAAGATTCTACGACTCCATTTATGACTCGCGCCACTCAAGGAATGACTTGACTTGAATGTTTACATTCGGCTGTCGCTGGCAGCCGGCTGAGCGACGTTAACATCGAACCGAGAGCAAGTCAAACTAAGCTTCGCGTCACTTGTTTTTACGAGCTTGGGACCCGTTAAAAAAAAAAAAAAAGTGTGATGATGAAGGTTTTAGTCACAAGTACAGATACGGAGTGCAAAGCGTCAGCGGACATGACTAGACGGCAACTTGAGACTTGGTTATATGTACGACGTACTCCCAATTCTGGTACCAAATGTATTGATTGGCGTACTACCATATTTTGACGCCTTGATTGGTGGACACACAGAAAGGAAACCAAATGCCAGATTGTATTCGGTGCACCATCGGTTAAATTGGCTCCAACGCTCCCCTCGGTAGCAAAGCAACGAGGAAGCAAAATTCTTCCCGATATGAAGACCGCAGTAGAAGAAAAAAGGCTATCGGGGGTCAAAGTCAAGCCTCGGATTTGCATGTGTGCGGTTAATTAGACACGAAAAGTTGGCCGGAAAGGAAGAAAAGCCGAGCGGCGCAGGGGAGCGACTACCCTGCGTGTAATGACGGCAGATAGCGCGAGATTTGTCCGACGACCAGCTCATCGCCCGCCGGGAGGTCAGGACGATGATTTGACATGATCTCGGCGCTTGGCGCTTCCCAGCGTCGAGTGCAATTTGTCTTCCAAGGAGATCATCGTGCCAAAGCTGATATTAGTCACTTTGGCGTGTCTGGAGCGAGGATTAAAGTCGACTCGCAATTAAGGTTCTAAATTTAGACTTTCATCTCAGGATGAAATAAATTGTCTTTTTCCACACACACACACACACACACACAAAAAAAAAAAAAGATCACGCTCATCATGATAAGATGTTCAAATCAATTATCTCTTCTGTGAAAGGGATAGCACAAAACATACACGGACGTGTGTGAAAGGTGATTTTTTTTCTCCCCCCCCCACCGGGCGAATCAGTTGAGCTGTGCTCTATCGGAAAAATGGCAACTTCTCAAGTTGACGAAATCCTTATCTTCCGTACGAGAACTACAAAGCCTTCTTCGTGAGGTCAGGTAATGACACCCCCTCTCCTTCCGCGGAGGTCGACTCTCCGTGTCTGAGTGTATAAATCCCCGCACGGCAGCGCTGCACAGTGGCTGCACAATAAGTGTATTGCCGCCATAAAACGAATTGATGGCCGCCGAGGTTTGGCGCTTGTGTTTCTTCATTCAGCCGCGCAGTAAATGATTGCTTCCCTGCCCCGCCTGTGCTCATCTCCGCCTTACATCAAGACTCCCGTGTTCCATCTGCCCCGCAGTGTGTGTGCGCTCTGGTGGGAGTGAGGCGGGGCAGATGGCGGCGGTGTTTGTGGTTGGGGGGAAGGGGGGGGGGGGGGGTTAGGGTCCATCACGTCTTTCTGCGCCCCCAATTGTTGATCGCGCACTTCCTTTACTGCAGCTCTTTGTTTCCTCTCCTACTCTGGGTAACGGCGCCGCTCGCACTAAATAAATGATTCCGATATTAAACAGACAGGCGGCAGTTGCCATGACAACCGGGCCCGGCTATTCCTTGGCAATTGTATAGCAAGCTGGCGGCCGGAATAACGCCGGCGAAGAAGGAATTCCCGTCTTTATGATTGCGATTGTGGCTTCGGAGGTGATTATTGGGAGACACAAGACCAGCCCCCGTGCCTTTTTCCACTGCACGGTATCGAATCAGCTCGACTTCTTGAGAGTCGCCGCAGTGTCTCCGTGGCTGGGAAATCACTGACATGAGCCTTCACCTCGAGAGAAACATTCCTCAGGGAAATGTTTAAGGCCCACTCATTTTCTAGATTCGATAAAACTCCTCATGGAATACAGCACTTGCATGTTTTCCTTTTCCAAAACTTTTGTCCAATAGGGCGACAGTCTGCAGGGAAGCGTTAAGTCCCTTTCATTCGCGTGAAAAAAAAATCCCATTTTAAAAAAGGCTCTTGCAAGCAATGTCAGTTGTCCGAATACTTTTGTCAACATAAAACATTGTTTCCTCTCTCTCTCTCTCTCTCTCTCTCTCTCTCTCTCTCTCTCTCTCTCTGTCTACTTGGCCGTAATTCTCGTTTCCTCCTCCAGCTTCTGCCCCACTGCTCTAGTGATTAATTAGTCAAATGTGCCTCCACCGCAGCGTCGCTTCCACCGCGGTGTAATTCCACCGTTAGACGGGAGTAAACAAGCAAGGGAAAATGACGAGAAGAAGAAAAAGGAGAAAACAACGGGAAAGTCATCCTCATTAAGAGGCTTGCCGGGCGCGGGCTCTTTATAATGAGAAAGTTGGGAAAGTGGCATGCAAAGTCGGCCGCTTTAAAATTCACCGCCATCCCTCGCCCGTCCGTCCGTCTCTGCAGCATTCTCCCGGGCCAGACCGTCCGCTTCGGACTTGGACCAAAATTTTGGTGGAAATGTTCACGTACGCAACGACAGACAGTACATTGTGTAAACCCCCCCTTATGTCGCCAAGTTAACAGGAGCTGTCGAGCAGATCGGTTCTCTTCCTGCTAGCAAGCGGCTAATTGCTTCTGGCTAAGACAGGGAAGCTCATTCCCGTGTTGGTGTTGTTTCTCTTCTGGAAAATAAATGAAAAGGAGGTTGTTTGGCTCGGAATTGCCTTCTCAAAACAGGCTAATGTCCAAGACAAATGTGCTTCTCCATCCTTGGGTATTTTGATAAAAGTACATCACCGAAACCCTGGGAACAGGTTTAGAGTCCTCTTTAATAAAACACCGCATGGATGGATAAAAACAAAACAAAACAAATGGTGAATGGCTTTTTAAAACAGGCTCCGCGTCTGCTTTCACCGGCTTTTGGGTTCTCATATTGTCGGGGAATTAGGGTGTATGTAATTAGATGAAGCGGGCGGTGTCAGAGGTGCTGCGTTTCAAAGGCGGCGGCGGATTAGACGGCTGAGCAGGTGCCTTGGTGGATAAAAAAAAAAAAAGGAGCGATCCGCCCGAGCTCACGTTCTTTGTGCTTCGTCAGTGAGGAGATACATGGTCGTATCAGCGTGCTATTGGTGTCACTCGCGAGCGACCTTCCGCCGGATGTCTGGCGGATGCGTTTTATCGTCGCCGACACCAGGCAGATTTCGGCGGGAGCATTACCGAATAAGACTGGCAACGTTTTGAGACCTATTTGCTTGCGTTTTCTGTGTTTGATGCTTGCATGCTAACGTAGCAGCCACCAAGACTGCGGTGGATTAGCAAAGCACAATGCGTTTCGGGGAAACGTCAATTTGGAGGGATTGCCGTAGGAAAAAATAAATAAATAAAATCAGTGGAAACTGTTTTCATACACCTTCATATTTGTGCCATTGCTTTTTCAACAAATGTCTTTGTATAAATCGTCAGCTAACATTAGCGCTAGCACCAAGCGCTTCCAGTACAAGCGAGGAGAGTTTGTCTGAGCGAAATGGGGTTCATGTTTTTTTTTTTTTTAAACTACCAATTTATCCCGCTATCCACAAAACATGGAGCCAATTAAAAATATGAATAATGCGTCATAAAAAAAAAAAAAATAAATAAAAAAAGTTAAATGACTCACGGAAGGCGGTGTAGAACTCCTGCAGGCTGAGGTGTCGGTCGTTGTTGTAGTCGTCGTAGCGCAGAAGATCCTGCATGGTGCAGTGCAGTAAGGTGTCGTCCACGTGCTCCTTCATGGAGATCTAACATACAAGAAAAATATTGAAGTGCATTTTTCACCCACCCCAAAAAAAAAAACAATGAATACAAAAAAATTAACTGAATAAAAGCTACAATACAGTTTAAGTAACAAAAATATGGACTGTCATGTCAACCACAGTACAATAGCAACTAAAATAGTTGCAAAGTGCTGGCATGAGTACATTTCCTATGGTGGTTTGCCTTCCATGTTAGTTTTTTTTTTTTTCCCCCATCCTGCAGCCACGATTTTGCCGCCTTCAAAATGCCCCCGTCCCGGTTTATCTCTTCCAATTGATTGTCTACAGTAGCGCTGCGCATGTGTTGAGGCGGATTAGCGGGACGTGACAAATTTAATTAATATATTTTGGGGCCTCCGGCGGGCTACCGCCGCGTGTTCCACTGATAGCGTCTGATCTGACCGTGGGCGCGCACATTAAACACTCCCTGCGACCAAAGTGCATGACTTTTTTTTTTCCCGCCGCAAAGACCACCGGCGCTTGTGTCTGTTTTGAGGGGCGACTGCAATTCATCTCTATTTACATTCCGCGACAAAGCCGTCGGAAGCCTTTTCAGGGCCTCGTTGGCATTAATATTCGCCAATTGTCGTCATCTTTGGCTGCATCTCAACGTGATACACCTGCGAAATAAAAATAACGAAATGATGATTCTTCTTATTATTTTTTTTTTTTGTCTGGAAAAAGTCAGCCATAAATCACTATGGAGTTTTTAATTTTAAACAACCAAGCGCTACGTCGGCAACAATGGCGGCGAGGTGACAGAAGATTAATTACTTGCAATGTTTTATTCAGATTTGGCAGGCGCTTATTAATTTTAACGCGGGATTGTTTTTGTTTTTTAACGCTTGACACCACTCAGCCCGAGCTGTATTTTTATTGTTTTTAAGGGTAGGATGATTAACTGTGAGCTATGGGAATTGAGATGAATAGACCACCCCTTTGCCCCCACAAATAAAAAAATATAAATCGATAGGTTCTGTTTGTGTTGTTTTGGTTCCTCATTTTTCTGATTTAGTTTCGAACTTAACAGAAAGTCAATGAAAGTCAAGTGCTCACACTTTAAAACGCTCTTGGAGTCGGTAGCACACTTTCAAACGATCACAACTTGCACTCGGTGCACTCGAAATGCTAACGCTAACACACCAACACACGGCCGCTTTCGTAACACGAGTTTAGCCAGCCCCGCTCTATGAGCTCGTCAAGCCACAAACAATACGAAAGATCAACCGGGAATATCAGTTCACGTTGGCCGCCGCCCACCTTCTCCAGTTCCTCGGCAACCAGTCGTCCATCGTGGTTCACATCCAAGTACTTGAACATGGTGTCCACCAGCGCCCGCCTGGCCTCCATGTCCCTCTGCCGGTTGCGTTCCGTTTCAGGGTTTCCCCGGGTGGTCTTCATATCCAGCAGCAAGCTCTTCAGACGGTTGTACTCCGACATGGTGCACGCGTTACCTGCCACACAGGAAAACTCAAGCTGATTCGGCTGAATCTGTTCATGGATTCATACGAGCCGACTCAAAACGATTCCAGTCAACGCCTTCGCTCACTCAACTAAAATGACTGAAGGGAAAATGGATGACTTAATTGGATTCAAAGCAATGAATCTGCTCCCGGACTCACCAAATCATCTTTTGACCGACACGAGTTGGCAAACTTACTGACAACTTGGGATGATTTGAGTGATTTTTGTACAGTCATATCCTTTTTTTGGCACTTGTTGCATAACACGGACTCATTTGCATAATTTGACAGCGCGTCAGCTCCAGTTAATTACGAGTAATCCACGTGAAGACAAAAGGTAAACATCCGCGTTGAGAGCAGCTCAAGATCCTCGTCCTCCTTTTTTGGGGGGGGGGGGGATTATGACGCCTTCTCACCACCAGACGATATGACGCTTTTCAGAAATGGAGAGGCCCAAATTAATCGCGGGTGGCGGTGGCGGCGCCGGCGGCATTATTTTCTCCGACAAGCTCTTCCAAAATCAATTAGGACGCCAAACACGTCTGCCGCACACTACGAGTGGGTCTTGATGCCGGTGGAGGGAGGATGCGTAAATAAACGACAGACGGTGGCAGCGGGATTGTTTTTTTTGTTTTTTTTAACCTGCTAAGCATTTTGACAGGAAAAGGGAAAGTCTGTCCTATATGAATAAGTCACCGTCTGCAGGCGGTGCGACAACTTTCACACCTAATCAACAAACCACAGTGTGCAATAATCTGAAATTTTGTGATGTCACTGTCGCGCAACAATTACCTGCTGCCAGGCACTTGAATCTGCCTGAAATAGTTTTTTTTTTTTTTTTTAAACCACTGTTGATTTTAGACACTTAACATTTGTCGAGATTTCATACATTTTGCGTGAATTCCATCTGATTTTTTTTTTGTAAAGAAACGTGACAAATCACGTTCACACTCAACTTTCAAATAATTTCATAATAAAGTGACATTTTTAGGCCTCATATGAGGACGGTGTTGAAGCATATTTAGCATTGTCCTCGCATCGCAGCGACAAAGGCAAATGACGCCACTTGGTAAAGGCAGTCATGCCAGAAGATAAACACGTTATGCAGAAGTGCAAGTTAGCTGACCAACAAACACTCCCCCGCTGCTGTGAATCAAACTCAGGGTGACCCAGCATCAAATCTGCCACATGGCAAACCTTTTCGTGGTTGAAATAAGTCGCGTTTTAACGATTTGCGGGAGTGTTGGAACATGATACAGCAAAAGGTGGGAAGCGAGGAAGTCACGCTAATATGCTAACAGTGTAACGATTAAGTGGGGCCTGGACAAAGGCAAATGACGCCACTTGGTAAAGGCAGTCATGCCAGAAGATAAACACGGTTGATTTAGCTGGGAAATAATTAGCCGGCGTCCGCTGTGGCGAACAGGAACAAGCTGAGGCTGTTACCAATGAATAGGCCTTCTTGTTTTGACCTCAACGAGACTCATTTTTTACATTTGTCATTCCCCTGTATGAGATATGGGTTTGGTTAGCCACGGGCGGGTGCGCTGAAACGAGGTCGCCATTAGAGAGGCGTGGCGGTGCTGCTGCTGCTGGCAGCAGGTAGGGGGGAAAAAAAAAGAGAGAGAGACTGAAGAACAACGGGGCCATTAAGTAAGAAAAGGGAGCTAATGAAGGGGCAAATTAACAAAACGCAAAAATCAACAAACGACGCGTAACTCACCGTCGCCTTTTGTTGATCATTTAGCCTCGGCTAAACAGGTCACAAATCAACTCGAAATCAAGAACCGAACTCCATTCGCCACCTACCATACTTCAACATTGATGCAAAAGATGGCATTGATTTATTTATGTGAATGCCTTTAATAAATCACAGATTTGTTTTTTTTCCAATTTAAAAACGTTAAAAAAAAAAAAAAAACATCAGCAAAGCGTAGTTTGTGTCATTTTCAAGTAATTTGAAGTATATTTGATGGAAAATCAAGACCTGTACCGAATGGAGGCGTGGCGTCTATGAGAAAGGAGGCAACTAGTTGAGAAAATGCAACATTTCTGAACTGTCCACGCCACACTTGTTCTCTTTGACTTCCATTTTTAAAAATGTCAACATTAGCCTATCTCGGCACCTCACTTTTTCAGGTTTGAATTATTTTGGAAACACGGCGCTTAATTAGATGGAAGGCAACTGCTTGACAAAATACAAATACAAAAAGGTATCGATTCCAGTGCTTAACTACGTTTCACATTTTTATTTCGACGTTGGCCTATCAAGGAAGCAAACGAGTCGGGCTGCTTCCTTCGCAGGAAGCTAACAAACATAAACAGCAGTGATGCTTTTTCCCATTCAACTGTGCGTGAACCCTCAGGACGACTTGAGGCGGAGCTTAACATGTGAAAAATGCGTATCGGGGGGCTTCGCTGGAGTTTACTGCAAAACTCCGGAGATTTGCGGAATAATGAATGGAGCGGGAGCAATTAGCCAACGAGGAAGGAAGGAATGAAGGAAGGAAGGAAGGACGGACGGGGAAATAGCGTAATTAACATTGCAAGCAGAGGATTAACTGCCATCTTCACGTTCATAATGAGTCAAAAAAGACAAAAGTTATTATTTTTGGCCACGTCTCCATCGAAGCAATAAAATAAGTCTGCTAATTTTGTTCGCTCAGACACACTTCATTTCTTCATATACTCTCCATACCCCCCAAAAATAATAAAAAGAAATCATCTTCATTGCTACTCTCTCGGTAAGATGGTCTTTTTTTTTTTTTTTTGATGATGAATGCACCGACATGGCCGCCATTAAAAAGTAAGATAGCGGGAAAAAGAATCTTGCTGACGCGAGTCAAAAGTCACTTAGGCGTGCGCGAATTCAGCTTTGACCTCAGATGCACTTTCTTGGACATTGTTAAAAAAAAAAAAAAAAACAACAAAAACTTTCGGTCTGCTCTTTGATGGAGAAAATGCTAGAAATTGAGACTAGATTTAAAAAAAAATCGAGAAAATGCGGTAAAACGATGCTCATAGTTAATTCACTCGGACTAGTTCTGGCATAAAATCAAATGCAAGACAACCCACCAAAATACTGGACGTTAAAATACAATTGAAAACGTTGATTCCTCTTCATTTGTGTCGTCATGAGCTGACGGTATCACACTACCTTCTTGTGGCCAAGGCGGAGGGAGCAGCCCAATGAATTAAATTGCAGCAATAAATCACGATTGGCAATTTCATTCAAAAGTGCTCTTTTTCCTGATTCGAAAACATATTCTGGACATTTTTTTTTAGGAACGCTAGAAAAGATGACTGGCATTTCCCTGTGAGTGTTTTGGGTTACAAGCATGGTCATGGAATTTTACGCTCAAAACATGCGCTAGCGTGCACGGATGATTACTGTATTGTTTAAGCGAGCATTTTTACTGTGCCTGCGTCCACTAATACAATGCGTCTTGTGTATGTGTTAAATCCAGAAATAGCTTCCGGAACTGACACTTTGCCTTTGAATACGGTGCGCCGTATGGTCGTGAAAATACGGTAACTTCTTTCAACAAAACGGGATGGGTTTGGAACTTTTCGGTTGCCATCCAGTTTTATGTTATCCCCATTTCCATAAGATCTGTCCCACCTCCGTTGCGGCCTCGGTTTCACGTCGTCTCCTCGTCCCATGTCAGAGCCATTTATAGCCATCAGTGACACAGGGAAAAAAAAAAAAAAAATCTAATCTTAAAAATTACAGTCCCATCCAGTTTTATGTTATCCCCATTTCCATAAGATCTGTCCCACCTCCGTTGCGGCCTCGGTTTCACGTCGTCTCCTCGTCCCATGTCAGAGCCATTTATAGCCATCAGTGACACAGGGAAAAAAAAAAAAAAATGGCGGAAACTCTCCGATGAATTAGCAGACAGGAGGTGGTCTTGGCGCACTAAACTAGGCCCCCCGCCGAGTCACGTGTTCTCCC